GATTAAAAAAATAATATTTTCATCTTATTTTTTAGTTTATTTATTTCAATATCTACCCTCCATTTGCATTATTTCCGATCGCTTTAACCTTATTAAAAGAAATATAAGTGTAATTATGTTAAAAATACAGAGCTAATTGTATTTTTTTCAGATCACCGAAGAGTTGAATATAATTTATCCAAAAAAATCTATATCTCTATCCCAATTCACTTACAATAGTTTGATTATGAGAGAATTTTATGAAAATTTACACATAATCAAATGACTATAAGAGTTCCAATTGGATTAGATTAACCAAAGAAAAAATTGAGAAAAATCCTCAACCTAACATTAGGACTACCCACCGTATTAAATTGTTAGAATAGGGAGCTATATATGTTGAACTTTCATTTTTTTTTTTTAAAAAAAGAAAAAGAAAAAAAGACTATGCCATGTCTTAGTAATGAAAATAAAGCAAGATACCAAAATTTCAATGTTTGGTAAATCAAAAAAAAAAAGAAGAAAAAAAAAAAACTTTTCAATGTTTGGGAACAAACAAACCATGTTTAGTGTCCCAACTCCACACCATACTTTAGTTCTTTTTCAAAATGGACATTAATTGGGGTTGGAGGAAATCACCGAAAGGAAGAATAAACATTTATGGGGAGAACATCACTAGAAGTTGAAAATTGGTGCATAATAGGAAAAAAAAAATAAGTTAGGGATGGATTTGAATAAAGATAAGCAAATTTAAGGATGTCATTGGATTGATGTATACTTTTCAATTTGATTGAAGAAAATGAAAATAAAATAAAATAGAATTTATTTATGCATTTTTGTTTTATTGGAACAAATCAAATAAACCGGTTATTATTCTTATTATTATTATCACAAATACCTATTTATTTTCTTCTCATATTTTAAAACAATTAAACCAAACTATTACCACCATCACAACCACCATCACCTCTTTTACCACCTCACCACGTTGTTACTACCACCACTTCTACACTCACCCTAACTAGAAAAAAAGAAAATGAGTGAGAGCACTAATTAGTACCACCACTAATGATGTGACAGTGGGTCCACAGTGTTGTTGTGTCTTTTTTTTTTTTTATAAAAAAATAGATGCCACATCATTAGTGGTTGCTTTAGAGCACCACTTTTAGTAGTCTCTATCATTACCCAACTTACCATGTAACCATTATACACTATAACAAATTGAAGTTGTAGAAAATAAAAATTTACAGACAAAATTATGTTTTAGGGACCAAATATTTTATTTGTCAAAAGTGTCATTATTGTATTTGAAACAATGAAATTGGACATTTAGTGATGAATTACTATTTTTTGGAACCAAAATTTTTGTTTCATAAAATAAACCTTTTTGGTACTAAATTATTTTGCCCTAAAAATGTATTTATTAGTAACATTTTCAAAATTATCGCCAAAATTCTTCTTTTTTTTCTATTTTTTTAACTTTTCAAGACTACCTTGTAGCGATTTTCATTATAATGATAGAAATTATTCCCTATTTTTTTACAACAAAATTTTCACATTTAAAAAGAAAAAAGTTTAGTCTCTAAAAAATTTATATGTCCCACTATGTAAACTAGTGTGTTAGTCGGTTGAGTTGGACGGAAGTTATATTTTCATGACGGGTTTCACCCTCCTATTTGATATGTTATTATTAGATAATGTCAGTTTTAGCACGTGATATAACTACCATAACAACATCACTAACATATTGAATTCAAGGTTGCAATTAACCAAATAATGAAACATATTTTCTATAAAAAATATAAATGTTTTTAAGAAAATTTAAATATAGGGGGATACACCAATAAATCCCAAATTATTAACTTATACACTGTTTAGTCCTAAAAGTTTTTTATAGACTGAAAGGTCCCATTACAATGTTTCAAACATCAGATTAATGTTTCGAACATTAGATTTTGAACATCAGATTAATGTTTCGAACATTAGATTTCAAACATCAGATTAATGTTTCAAACATTAGATTGATGTACAAATGGGACTAAATGGAGCATAAGAAAACTTTTAGGACTAAATGGTTCAACTTTTCAGAAACTAGGACTTATGGGTAAATTTTCCTTAAATATATTTTTAATGTCAAAACAAATAAAACATTAATAATGAACGCAAAATTATAAGGAAAATTCTATTATATATAATTTTTTCTAGGGTGTGTATCACATGCCACAGTAAAGATATTTGTGGTATTTAATTATGACCTATTATGTTAGTTATTAATTGATTATATACATTATATGTATTAGTTATGATTTATTATAATATTAATTATCACACTATTTTTTTTTTATTATTCAAAAAATCTTTGGTTATAATTTATATATTGTTTGGATATGAAGATCTTAAAATGATTCAATTATTAGATGGATGATAATTAATTTCACAAATATCATGATTTGCATACCATTCACACTAAAATTGCTTAATTAACTTAAAATCACTACAACTCAAAAAAAAGGTGTATGTTTTTTATTTTAATATTTTTTATTCAAGTTTAGATGGAGGAGGAGGACATGCATTTATGGATGATGAAGGAAGAAAGGAAAAAAGAAAGAGGTTTGATGGGTGGTAATAGTAAAAAAGTAGGCAAGTGACTCGGTACCACCCGTTAAAACGGTCAGTCAAATAAACTCATGGTAATTTGGTTCCCGCCAGATCTGAAACGTGTTGGTCTCTCTCTGCCTCAGTCAGTCGTCAGCGTCGCCCAAAGCTCGGCCGTCAAATTCGTTGACTTCTCTCACACAGTCTCTCCCCCACATACATACCCCATGGGCCATAGTACCTTCTCATTTTCCTCACGTGGAACCCGCCGTACTCTTCGGGCGGTGGATTTTTCTCTCTCTAGAAAATATATTTTTTTTAAAAAAAAATCAAAATTTTAAATTTTTAGAAATATTCATAATTTTAATTTATAAACAAGATTTATTTATGCAGTATTTGGGAAGCCAAAAATTAAGAGGTGGTTTGGGATATCCTAAATAAGTGTATTTTTTGACATTTTATAAAAAAATGTGTAAAAAAATAGAGAGAAGATGTTAATTGATGTGACCTAAAAAAAGATAAAAAGATAAAAAAATGGACTAAAATAGGTTATGCCAAACAAGGCTTAACTTTTTTCACTAATTATACCATTTGGGAACAAGCCAAAAAAGTCAAAAACTAATTATTAATCCATTTTAAGTCATATTAGCTCTCATATAAAAAAATTCAAAAAGTCAGTTTTTAATTATTTTTTCAAAACACTCCAAAATCTATAAAAAATAAATAAAATAGATTAAAATAGTCAATAAAATAAAATGTCACATCAAATCCATAATCATTTCACTCTTTCTCTCACAAACTTAACATCCAACTATAAAAAAATTCAATCATCTTCCTAAATACAAATATTTAGCCTACCAAAACAGCTAGCTTCCCGAATGAGGCCTTGATGTGCACGTCTTATTTAGCCTACTAAAGTTCTATCATACATATGTAATGTGCATTTTTTTTTTTATCAACAAAAAAGAAAATTTTATTGATAAACATTTAAAAATATTACATCAATAAAGAAAATGAATGAGTGCAAAGAGTATCATAAATTCATAGCGGAATAATTTAATACCAATTAAGTTAGCACCGAGAAATCCACCTAATCATATACTAGCATATCAACAAAAGTTGGTGAGAAACCGATTACAAAAGCTTGTAATGTGCATATTACAAACACATTTTTCATCTGTTTTGTTAAGGAAATAAAGACATAAAAGTTAAGTTGAAAACTATACATTCTATTAATTTTTTATTTAAGAGGATAAAATGAAAAACGGTACTAGTTGAGTTGGGTAAAGTGTAATTTACCCTAAGTCTAAGTTTGTACCTTAGATTTAAAATTTTGATTCATTTTCTAATTGACTTTTTGGATGGTTATATTTTTCCTTAATATTAAAGAAGTTAAAAAAAAAATTGAAATTTTTTTTTATGTAATACAAAATATGTACAAAATTTTAAGAAGTTAAAAAAAAATGAAAAAGAATAAAAATATAGACATAATTGTAATGTAATACAAAATATCTATGAAATGTTAATAGATTGAATTTATAAAAATAAAATAAAAAGTTTTATTGAGAATGTACAACTAATTTTCACAAAAAATTCAAAAAAAAATGAAAAGTCCTACTGGAAATTTGTAGATGTACGTATAAAATACTACTTATAGTAAAAAAAATTGACTAGTACATAATGCATGTATAAAATAATAATACAACTTATAACACTTGACCAATACATGTTTAATAATTGACATCCTTAAAAATATTCTATAAGATATAGAATCTAAAATTTCATGCGTGATATAGAATCTTAAATAAGAAATTATTTTAATATAAAAAATTAATCCTTATTATGTGATTATTTTTCGCTTTTCCAATTTTTACAAAAATAGGTTCGCCTATTTTTTTTTTTTTTAAAAACAAATATATTAAGGTTCCATTTGGAAAGTAAATTTAGGCTAAAATAACTATATAGGTTAAAATTGACTATTTTAATTAAATAAGACAAAATATCTTATTTACCTCATAATTATTTTATTTTTTTTTCATAAAAATCAAAAAAATCAAAAAATCTATTCCAAATGAGACTTTTTAATTTCAGACTAAAATAATTAAAAAGTCAAAAAATTAATCCATATCCCAAACGAAGTCAAATTAAAAAATTCAATCGTCACGGGCATCCTATTTCGCGAAGAAGGATTAATTCCCACTTCATTGATTTCTTCACGGAGAAAAGAACGAGTCAAACTCAGTCTTGACGAAATGTATATGAAACCTCTCCCTCTGTATCTCTCTCTAAATGACTGGGTCCTACACCCAGCTGTCAATATCGTGACGCACCACCTTACGTAACTTTATCATTCCCTTTTCTCACCACAATACACAATCCAATCTTCTTCTTTACTAGTCTTACGTCCTCAACCCCTTTTTATAGCCATGCCCATTTCACCTTCAAGAGACTTCAGAATTCTCAACCACCTTCTCTCTCTGTCTCTCTCTCCCCTAAATCTATAACTTGTTTGTTGTTGTTGTTTCATTGTTGATTGATTGATTTATGGACAAAGGATGGGGATTAACTCTTGATTCTGCTGATCCAATAAGTTTCTTCACAAACAAGCCGGCTAACGTGTTGAGAGGTAGTATGTTTCCGGGGATCGGATTACCGGTGAACCTTAACAGGAGGGAAGAGCAAGCTGCTCCATCGCCATCCCACGAGAATCGGGTGGTTGTGCGTGAGGTAGACTTCTTCTCTGATAAGAACAACTCAAATCATCAAATGGATTCCAAGACTAGTGTTAATACTAATAGTATCAAGAAAGAAAACTCAGATCAAGCCCCTTCCAGAGCTGATTTTGATGTAAATGTAAGCAACCCAATTCAATTATTATGATTATTATTATTATTATTCAATGAAATATTTTTTAGCCATATAAAATATATGCTCCATTGATATTCTTATTTATTGAAATTTCCTTCTTTTTTTTTTTTTTCTTTTTTGACAAATATAGACTGGTTTACACCTAAGTGATCGGCCGACGATTCAGGATGTGATTTTATCAGCTGCGAAAGATAAACGAGCCAAGAATGAGGTAAGAAAACATTTTTTTAACGTGTAATTCGGTCACAGAATCAGATATAACTTTCTTATATTAAGCTAAGACCCACAGAATTAATCAGCTTGCTTGGTTCCATTTTTTTTAAAATATTTTTCAGAAAATTCTACTTTCTTTTTTTTCTGTTTTTTTGTTTTTATTAAATTTTTTTTTTAATATTTTGAGCAATTTTTTTACTTTTTAGACATACCTAACAAAAATACACGTAAAAAGTAAAAAAATTGTAAAAAAAATCTTTTAAAAATTCACTAAATACCAAAAATACAAAAAAAAAATACAAGAATTCAGTTTATTTTTTGTATTTTTATGTATTTATTAATTTTTTAAAATATTTTTTCACAAATTTTTTATTTTTTAGATACATCTAAGTAAGATACTTCTAAAAAAGTATAAAAAAATATTTAAAATTTTAAAAATATTCACTAAAAACCAAAAAAAAAAACATGAAAATCAATAAATTCAGTTTTCAAAAAATTTAATTCAGAAAACTCAAACCAAATACACTAAATATGACTCATTCTGTGATCCGATTCTGTGCACTAAGATTAACTGGAGTTTATGCTTAGCTGAGAGTTAATTTTATGTTTCAGCTCGGACTGTTGCAAGTTGAGCTTGAACAAATGAATGCAGAAAATCAGAGGTTAAGAGGGATGCTTTCTCAAGTTAGCCACAATTACAGTACTCTACAGATGCAACTAATGACATTAATGCAACACCAACAACAACAGGGTTCGACAATGGTGATCATTTTAACCATCTTCGATTGCATTGATCTTCAAAAATTTTGCTTGTTTGTTTAATTTGATTCTCATTACCATTATTTACTATGTATGTTCAGATAGTAGAAGAAGATAAGAAACATCATGAGGCAGGAGGACCGGTGGTGCCAAGGCAATTCATGGACTTAGGCCCTAATGCCGCTACTGAGACAGACGAGCCATCTCGTTCTTCATCAGAAGAAAGAACACCTTCGGGTTCAGGGTCGCCTCCGAACCATAAAAATGAGACGGTTCCGTTTGATCAAAACAAGTCCAATTACCGGGATGGGAAAGCGATTAGGAGAGAAGAAAGTCCCGAATCAGAAAGTTGGGTTTCTAATAAGGTTCCCAAATTGATGAACACCACTAATAAGAGTGTTGAGCAGGCATCAGAAGCTACAATGAGAAAAGCCCGTGTTTCGGTTCGTGCACGATCAGAAGCTCCCATGGTGATTGATTAGTTTTTTTTGGCTCAAAATTTGATCTGAAAACTTGGTTCAATTGTTGTGAAATTAATCAAGTGTTTGATGAAATACAGATCACTGACGGATGTCAATGGCGCAAGTACGGTCAAAAAATGGCCAAAGGAAACCCGTGCCCTCGAGCTTACTACCGGTGCACCATGGCAATTGGTTGTCCCGTGCGCAAACAAGTAAGTTCTCTTCTACTTTCACAAATTCAAAACACAGAAACAAAAACAGCAATTGGGCCAAAGAGTGCAATTGCATTCTCACATTATACATTAGTAAATCCGGTTGTGACAATACGGTACACGACATTGAATAAGTTACCAAGTTAAGACTAATATGAATTATGGCAATTCACAGGTTCAAAGATGTGCGGAGGACAGAACAATCCTAATTACCACCTACGAGGGTACCCATAACCATCCGTTGCCCCCGGCTGCGATGGCAATGGCATCGACCACATCATCAGCTGCAACGATGCTACTTTCGGGGTCCATGTCGAGTGGAGATGGGCTAATGAATATGAACCCTAATTTCCTAGCAAGAGCAATCCTTCCATGCTCATCAAGCATGGCTACAATTTCAGCATCAGCACCATTTCCAACAGTGACATTAGACCTAACCAACACTCCAAACCCATTACAGACCCAAAGAACGCCAACCCAATTTCAAGTCCCACTTGCCTCCGGGTTTACCCGCCCGGTCCCCCATGTGTTCGGCCAAGCCCTACATAACCAGTCTAAATTCTCTGGGCTCCAACTTTCTCAGGACATGGACTCAGTTCAAGCTCCACAGAACACCTCATTCTCCGACACTCTCAGCGCAGCCACGGCCGCCATCACAGCTGATCCCAACTTCACGGCAGCTCTTGCCGCCGCCATCTCCTCCATCATTGGTGGTGCTCAACCAAACAACAACCACGCCAATAACACCACCACCTCCACCTCCACCACCACTAACACCAACAACACCACAACAAGCAACAGCAACAAGATTGGTAGTTTTCCAGGGAATTGAAAGTGTGATCAAATCTTTTTATTTCTTACCATTTTTTTTTAGTTTCTTTTTTACATTTTTGAGAAGGTGACATTGTGATTACATGTTCATACTTCATAGACACAAAGTTTTATTGCCCTGTTTTGTTTTGTTCCAACTTTGAATAATTAATTTCTTATTTTCAGTGAATACACAAAAAAGAGAAATATAGCATATGTTTATTCAAACCGTACTTGTTTTTAGACAAAAATCAATTACGGGCATCTAAAAAAGTGGGAATATAGGTTCTTTATGATTCTAAGATCGGTTTACGTCTCTTTTAGGAAAAAGTAATAGGTCGTTTAGGGGATACTATTCTCAAGTATTAGGTCGTTTAGAGGATACTATTCTCAAGTATTAGGTCGTTTAGGGGATACTACGTGCCTCAACATGAAGTCGTAGGCATTACTTAAATACTCTCTTCCCTAATCTCTAACATTTCTAAGACAACATTTGACCACGCCCAAGAACCAACCAATAACTTCACCTCTTTTGGACATTTTCTTATTCAAATGGTTTCGTATGTCTTTGTGTTGATCTTGTTTTTCAATGTTCAAAACAAAGACAGCAATCAAGGTGGACTGCAATTGAATGGTGTAAATGAAGAAAAGGAATAATCAACAGTTGGAAAGGTATATCCCTGATTTTGAGTTGTCAACAACTTCGGCCATTAATTGTTTGACGCGGATATGATGAATTTGGATAGACATTAAGGAATGGTTTGTGTCTGTGAATATATATATATATATATATATATGGATTGTTTGAAAAGTTAATTATTTTAGTAGGTTAAAATAGTTGTGTTTAAAAAGAGAGTTAGATTTTTTTTTGTAATTAGATGTGATATTTATAAAATAAAATAAAATAAAGTAAAATGATTATAAATTTGATGTGACATTTAGTCTGATTGACTATTTTAATTTATTTTGTCTTTTAATACTATTTTAATCCAAAAAATCAAAAATCTGTTGCCAAACACCCCACATATAGAGAGAGAGATTGATTGATTGATGGGTGGAATCAGTGGCGGAGCCACATGCAGGTCTCACGTGGCCCCTCAATTTTGAAATTTTTTTTACATATGTATATAAATAAATTTTTAAACAAAAATAATATTTAAAATAAAATATCAATGACATTTTTAAATTTATGAGAATAATAATGATTATTTTATTGAAAATAAAGAAACTATAACAAATTGCATTTTTATATATGAAAATTTTATGAAAAAGTCTCACTATATGTAAATATAATTAATCTCACTATATATATGTAAAAGTTATTAGAATATTAGTTATATTTACATGTGAAATTCACCTCCTATGCTATCAGAAGTTTTGGAGAATAATGAAACAAGTGATCATGCAATTCTTCCAAGATTTTCACAACCACAACAGACTTACCTATGGAATTAAAAGCTCCTTCATTACACTAATCCCCAAGACTTCTAACCCCATTAATCTATCTGATTATCGACCCATTAGCCTAGTGGGTTCTATATACAAGATTTTAGCAAAGGTTCTCTCGCACAGAATGAAGTTCGTGATGCCCTCCATTATTGGTGATACTCAAACTGTTTTCATAGGGGGAAGGAATATCCTTGATAGGATGTTTATTGCTAATGAAGTCGTAGATGGTTGAAAGAAGGCTAAGCAACAAGGGTTGATCATCAAGCTAGATTTCGAGAAAGCTTTCGATTCAGTAAACTGAGAGTTCTTGTTCTCTTTGATGTTCAGCTTTGGTTTTGGGGCTAAATGGATCTCTTGGACAAAAACCTGCATATCTACATCCAGAATTTCTATCGTAGTCAATGGTTCACCAACTAATGAGTTCTCTCCGCAAAGAGGACTCCGTCAAGGTGACCCATTGTCACCATTCCTCTACAATATTGTGGCCGAGGGGCTTAATATTCTCTTGAATAGTGCACTAAATCTTGGCATCCTTCATGGTGTCTCGGTCGGGGTTAATGAGGTTCTTTTATTTCACCTTCAATTTGCTGATGACTCAATTTTCTTCTGCGAGGCTGATATGGACCAAGTGGTGATTATCAAAAGACTCCTTCGATGCTTTGAAGTTCTTTTGGGGCTTAGAATAAATTATCACAAGAGCGTTGTATGTAGTGTAAGTGTGAATGCTGTGTCTCTAAATGCCATTGCCAGACTCTTGAACTGTAAGGTGCAAAGCTTGCCACTGAAATTTTTGGGGCTACCTTTAGGAGCCAACCCGGGAAGAAAATCAACCTGGAAGCCTGTGCTTGATAATATTAGATCTAGGCTTTCAAGCTGGAAGAGGAAAATGCTGTCCTTTGCTGGGAGGTTAACCTTGATCAAGTCTGTCCTCTCGAGTCTCCTTGTGTACTATCTTTCCTTTTTCAAGATGCCTGAAGGTGTGGCCTGTGAAATTGAAAAGATTGAGGCTGCTTTCTTGTGGGGTGGAGATGGCCTAAAAAGAAAAGTTCATTTGGTAAAATGGGTTGAGGTTACAAAGAGTGTTGCCCAAGGGGGCTTGGGCATCAAAAGCATTAGGGATGTTAATGCATTCTTGCTTCTCAAATGGTAGTGGAAATTTGAAAATCAAATCTCAGCATTATGGCGAAAAATTATTTGCAGCAAGTATAAAATTAAGGTTCAGTGCTAGCATCCTCCTGTGCAATCCTCCTACAAGCACTCTAGGATGTGAAAGGATATCACTTTTGCAGGAGTCCATAGTTCACATACGTCTCAATTCTTCTTGGGAAACTGTAACAACCTCAACCTCTGATTAACGTTAATCCGTACTTAATTATGTTTGATGGTAATTTAGGAAGGATTTAGGATTAATTTGCATGTGTATTGCATTATTTTTGTGTTTCTATCTGTTTGTGATAAAATGAACTGTTCATGTCTTTGACTTTAAACTACGAATTGAAAGCCTTATCGGCGACCGATTCAGAAATTGTGTAGTGTTTTATACTTGTAAGAATATATGTGATTTTATGGTAGGCTTAATTAAAATTTGGTTGGTATGATTAAATTAGATTATACAATGCTAAATTAAATTAGTTCAAGTCAATTACCTAATTGCCACTTAGTGGGCCACTTCTAAGAGCCTTGTTTGAAACTTATTGTGCATTATTCTATCATCCATTTCTTGACCAAACCGTGGGAGAGAGCTAGAGATAGGAGAAATTTTGGTTTCAACAAAATTCCTTGGAGAATTGGAAGAAGTGAAGAGTAGTTTGCATATTTGAGCTTCTAGGCTTGGAATTCAAGACCTAAGGTAGGAGAATCATCTTCTTGATTGTGCATTTAAGTTATACCTTACATGGTCCATGGTAAAATTGAGGATTAAAGTCAAGAATTGGTTGAAAATGTTGAATTGAGGCTTAAATCATGCATGCATGTTCATATCTTAGCATTTTGAAGTGTCTTCATGGAAGTTCTTGCATGCAAGCCAATATTCTAGCCTTCGTCTATGAATTCATCATGATTTTGAGCTCAATCTTACATTTGGTCATGTTTTAGAGCATTGGATTTAAAATAAACACTTGCATGTTAAGCTCTTGTTTTGTTCTTGAAGTTCTACTTGTAATTGTGTTCAATTCACTCACCCTTGGGCTTTGAATTTACAAATTGATCTTTGAAACATCTTATACTATGAGTTTACAAGTGTTTTCTAGAAAATGGGCCCAAAAGGTCGAGTTTTAAGGTGTTGAATGCTTGGTTTGAGCTTGGGAGGCAAATCTGAAAATTCTAAAATTTGGCTTCTTCGCTCGAGCGAAGGATCTCACGCTCGAGCGACCATCATTTGTTCAGAGCTTCGCTCGAGCAAAGGAATGGTGGCTCGACCGTAAATTGAAAGCTCTCAAGTTTTTGGTGCACGCAAACACACGCTCGAGCGACGAGACCTACGCTCGAGCGAAAAGCTGTGTCTCACGCTCGAGCAAGCATCGAGCGTAAAATTTCAACAACCAGTACTTTTGCATTTTTACAGACCACTCGAGTGAAGGAGTCTCCGCTCGAGCGACCCCTCTGTTTTGACAAACTCGCTCGAGCGAAGAAAGCCACGCTCGAGCGAGACCCCTGTTTTCAGTAAGTTTTGAAAAATATTTTTCAAGACATCTTTGCATCCTCATTTCATCCTAGGCATTCCTAGGCCAGGTTTAAGACTCTATAGTGACGATTTAAGGTTAGAAACACACTAAGAACTAACGACATAAGCTTTGTGCAATTAGAATGTATGTTTTAAGTAGGTCACGTGACGCGTATCGTGTGATCAATCTGCTCCGTCTATCTGTTTCAAGGCCAACTGTGAGTAATAACTTAGTAAAGTTATGTTCAAACTGTATCTACTTTCTATGTGATAAAACAAGATCTGTTTTCCGAAATGATATGTTCTGTACAATGAATGATTGTTCAATTTTTGATATGTATTCGTGACATCCTCAGCATCATGTGATATCTGTTAGCTGTTACCCGGTATCAGAGATTCCTTTATGAAACTTATTTCTGTCTGCACTCTGTTACCCGTACCGGAGGCCTTATCACGGGGGCTCAACTTCTGTTCTGTTGCCCGGATCCGGAGGTTCCTTTATGGAACTGGTTATTCATAACATCACGTGTATACGTTTTGTTCTGTTCTGTTAATGCTAATGGATGTATCACGTAAACTTAATCATTACTTATGATTTTTGTCTGTATATGATCTGGACAAATGATGAATTTGATACAAATCTGAATTATGATTTCTGAATCTGTACGAACTCATTCATTGAAACCCTTTACTCTATTACTATTCACTGGGCTTTCGCTCACAGCTTATATTATGTATGTAGGTGAGCTGACACATGGCCAGGGCCAGAGTTGGCGGCCTTCTATTCTATTTTTGTCAGCCAACTGTTGTGCCTCCCGAGGAGGTTCCGAACGAAGCCTAATGCCATGGCTGTTTTTGTATACATGCTTGTCTTTGTGTATGCTCTGTAAAGTCAGGTCTTGGGAAGTACATTCTGTAAATACCTTGTAAATATTGTGTATCTGGACTGGCATGTTTATGTATATATAAAAAAGTTTTGAAATGTTATGTCCCATGTACATTATTACAACTCATTAGACCTTGTCTATTTTGTATTATTGCTTCTACAACCCCTTATTATTTGCTAATCTGTTCAGAGGCCTTTGATAATCCACGGATTACTGGCCAGTTACGGTGCTAAACCTACATGGGCGGGTTTGGGTCGTGACAGAGTGGTATCAGAGCACGTGTTCTACCGCACACACAGGTCCGTATGAGCTTAGGATGTCCTAGTAAGAGTTAGAGGCATTCCATCTGCATGTGTGAGTGTGTGGTAATGCAACTGAATATGAAAACTGAATGTACATTTGAATCAAATGAATTGAAGGAAACGAATAAGATTATGCTTGTGTTTATTATCATTTGATGCCTGTATTAAGATGGAGAATGCAAGGGGAAGTGGTGAAAGTGAATCTTTAGAGGCTCGCATGGGCCGAATGGAACAGATGTTAGCAGCATTGACTGAAACCTTGACACAACAATAAAGACAACAACCTTTGCCCCCTCCGCCTCCACCAGCACAAGCCGAGGCAGATAATAATGACATCATCAATCTGACACAGAAATTCATGAAAATGAAACTGCCAACGTTCTGTGGTGGAACTGAACCTTTGAAAGCTGAGACGTGGTTGCTTGAAATGGAGAAACTGTATGAGGTGTTTCCTTGTTCTGAAACCCAGAAAGTACTCCTAGCCATCTACACTCTGAAAGATGAAGCCCGCAGGTGGTGGTTACTGATCCGAAGTGGCAATAGAAATATTACATGGGCACAATTTAATGCTATCTTCTACGACAAGTATTTTCCCCAATGTTTCAGGGATCGGAAAGTGTCTAAATTTCAGGAACTCAAACAGGAAAGAATGTCTGTGGCAGAATATGAAACTAAATTCACCAAATTGGCACGGTTTGCTCCACATATGGTGGATACCGATTACAAGAAAGCACGAAAGTTTGAAGGTGGATTGGATCTAGACATGTTTGATCGAGTAGGCGTCTTGAAATTGCCTACTTATGTAAAAGTTCTAGACAAAGCCTTAATGGCAGAGGCCACCCTAGCCATCATGAAACAAAGCAAAGCCCCAATAACTACAACAATTGAGTGGAGAGGAAAAAGATCCGGGTTTGGTTTTAAAAGAGGCCGATCCTTTGTCAGTAAGAAACAAAACATAGGGTCTACAAGCAGCTCGAGTCAGAATAATGGGTCTATCCCGGTCTGTTCTGATTGTGGTAGAAGGCATAGGGGTGTGTGCTACCGAGTGTTCGGTGCTTGTTTCCGGTGTGGCCAGCCAGGTCATGTAGTGAAAGATTATCTGCTCAGGTCTGAGACTACTAGCCGTCCTGCAGTAAGTTCAGCGGGATCCGCTTCTGTGGCCAAAACCAATGCCAAAGTCAATACTGGGAAAGAACCTCTGAGACAAGGCCGAGTGTTTGCCTTAGTGCCCGGTGACATACCGAACACCTATACTGTGGTGTCAGGTACACTCCCTATATGTTCTCAAAATGCATGTGTACTGATAGATTTTGGTTCTACACATTCCTTTGTATCGCATGCTTTTTCTCGAAAATTGACTTGACCATTAGAACTTATGACCTATGTGTTATCTGTGTCTACATCGTCTGGGGATTCTATGATGTGCGCTCATGTTTATCCAGCATGTGATGTTATGATTGGCGATATGATATTATATGTGGACTTATTACCCTTGGACATTAATCATTTTGATTGTATTTTGGGGATGGACTGGTTGACTAAATATTGCGCTACCATTGACTGCGCAAATAAAACTGTTGTGTTTAGACCACCGGGTATGCCTGAATTTACTTTTATTGGGAATGGGGTAGTTCCTCCCCCATATTTGATTTCGGCTATGAAAGCCAGAAAACTGCTTAGGAAGGGATGTAGGGGTTATCTGTGTCGTATACTGACTACATCATCCGATGGAACTAATGTAGAAACTATCCCTGTTGTTTGTGAATTTCCCGATGTGTTTCCAAGTGACTTACCTAGGGACTTAGTTGATAGAGAAATTGAATTCACTGTTGAAGTGTTTCCGGGGACACAACCTATTTCCAAGACTTCCTATAGAATGTCTACCTCTGAATTGAAAGAATTGAAAACCCAACTTCAGGAACTGTTAGATAAGAAATTTATTCGTCCGAATACTTCACCTTGGGGTGCTCCAGTTTTGTTTGTCAAAAAGAAGGATGGATCTTTAAGATTGTGTATAGACTACCAAGAACTGAACAAAGTGACTATCAAGAATAAATACCCTCTGCCCCGAATAGATGACTTGTTTGATCAACTTCAGGGTGCCCAAGTGTTTTCCAAAATTGACCTTAGGTCCGGGTATCATCAATTAAAGGTTAGAGCAGAGGACATAGAGAAAACTACATTTCGAACTAGATATGGACATTATGAATTTTTAGTAATGCCATTTGGGATGACCAATGCACCTGCAGCTTTCATGGATCTTATGAATAGGGTGTTTAAATCATATCTGGATGACTTCATTGTTGTATTTATTGATGACATTTTGATTTATTCTAAAGACAGGGAAGAACATGAGAACCATCTAAGAACCACCTTGCAGATTTTGAGAGAAAAGAAATTGTATGCTAAATTGTCCAAGTGTGAATTCTGGCTTGACAGTGTGGCATTTTTGGGACATGTAATCAACAAGGATGGAATTTCTGTTGACCCTCAGAAAATTGAAGCTGTCATGGATTGGCCTAGATCGACAAATGTGACAGAAGTCTGAAGTTTTCTGGGACTTGCAGGTTACTACAGAAGGTTTGTGAAAGACTTTTCTAAGCTTGCCATGCCATTGACTCAGTTAACTCAAAAAAATGTGCCATTTGACTGGAATGAACAAAGAGAGGCAACTTTCCAAGAGTTGAAAATCAGGTTAGTGACTGCACCAATCTTAACCTTGCCTAATGGTACTGATGGGTTTCAAGTGTACAGTGATGCTTCCTATAAAGGCTTGGGGTGTGCACTAATGCAAAACGGAAGGGTGATTGCCTATGCTTCTAGACAACTTCGACCTCATGAAATGAATTACCCAACACATGATCTTGAATTAGCAGCTGTGGTGTTTGCTTTGAAAATATGGCGTCACTATTTGTATGGGGTAACTTGCAAGGTGTATACAGACCATAAAAGTTTGAAATATTTCTTCACCCAAAAGGAATTGAACATGAGACAGAGACGATGGTTAGAACTAATCAAGGATTATGATTTGCATATCTTGTATCATCCAAGAAAGGCTAATACCGTAGCAGATGCCTTGAGCCGAAAATCCAGTGCGAATTTGTCATGTTTGCTATCCAACCGGAAAGAATTGTTGACTGACCTAGAATAAGATGGGCTATTAACTGCTATCGCCGCTCAACCTATAATTCTTGACGAGATCAAACAGAAACAGTGCGATGATGAATACTTGAAAAATATCACGGAGGAATTTGATTCAAAGCCGAGGCCAGGATTTGTGTTTGAGAATGATGTGCTGAAATTTCAGAACCGTCTTTGTGTGCCCGATTGTTATGATTTGAGGAAACGTGTTATGACCGAAGCTCACAGCAGTAAATTTGCTATGCATCCGGGGAACACGAAGATGTATCATAATTTGAAACAGAATTTTTGGTGGCCTAGAATGAAACAGAGTATTGCAGACTTTGTGGCTAGATGTCTACAGTGCCAACAGGTTAAAGCTGAACATCAACGACCCGCTGGTTTGTTACAACCACTCCCAATACCGGAATGGAAATGGGAGCACATTACCATAGACTTCATTGTGGGATTGTCTCGTTCTTCTCGAGGTATGGACTCTATCTGGGTTATAGTTAACCGTTTAACTAAATCTGCCAATTTTCTGTCTGTCAAAACTATTTATAACACTGATAAATTGGCCAATATCTATATGACTGAAATTGTGAGATTACATGGAGTGCCAGTATCTATTGTGTCTGACAGGGACTCAAAGTTTGTATCAAGATTTTGGCAGAGTTTGCAATAGGCTTTGGGAACTAAATTGAGACTGAGCAGTGCCTATCACCCACAAACAGATGGCCAAACTGAATGAACGAACCAAACTCTAGAGGATATGCTCAGAACGTGTGTGTTAGACTTCCAAGGGAATTGGGAGACCTACTTGCCATTAGTTGAATTTGTGTACAACAACAGTTACCATTCAAGCATTGGAATGGCTCCTTACAAAGCTTTGTATGGAAAAAAATGTCGTTCTCCAATATGTTGGGCTGAAGTAGGTGATAGACCTTTGTTGGGACCGGAATTTGTGCAAGAAACAACCGAGAAAGTGAAACTGATACAGCAGCGTTTGAAAACTGCACAGAGTCGGCAGAAGAGCTATGCCGATGTTCGAAAAAGAGAGAGGAAATATGAAGTTGGGGACCATGTGTTCATAAAGGTGGCACCGATGAAGGGTCAAACTCGGTTTGGTGTTAAGGAAAAATTGGCGCCAAGATATGTTGGACCTTATGAAGTCCTCGAAAAGATCAATCCGGTATCGTATCGGGTAGTCTTACCTCCAGTAATGGAACACATGCATATGTATCGATGCTACGAGAATATTTGAGGGATCCACTCCACGTCATCGAACCGATACATGTGCTTTTGAAAGATGACTACACTTATAAGGAAAGACCTATCCAGATTGTGAATCGCCGGATCAAAAGGTTGAAAAATAAAGAAATACCGTTGGTGAAAGTGGATTGGCAAAACCACGGAGGAACTTATGCAACCTGGGAAACTGAAGAAGACATGATGAAGAGATATCCGGATTTGTTCCCATTAGACCCAATGTTGTTCCCGAATGAAGGTATTTCGAGTTTGGAGGACCAAACTCTTTTAAGAGGGGAAGACTGTAACAACCCCAACCTCTGATTAATGTTAATCCGTACTTAATTATGTCTGATGGTAATTTAGGAAAGATTTGGGATTAATTTGCATGTGTATTGCATTATTTTGTGTTTCTATCTGTTTGTGATAAAATGACCTATTTATGCCTTTGACTTTAAACTGCGAATTGAAAGCCTTATCGGCGACCGATTTAGAAATTGTGTAGTGTTATATACTAGTAAGAATATATGTGATTTTATGGTAGGCTTAATTAAAATTTGGTTGGTATGATTAAATTAGATTATATAATGCTAAATTACATTAGTTCAAGTTAATTACCTAATTGCCACTTAGTGGGCCACTTCTAAGAGCCTTGTTTGGAACGTATTGTGCATCATTCTATCATCCATTTCTTGACCAAACCGTGAGAGAGAGCTAGAGATAGGAGAAATTTTGGTTTCAACAAAATTCCTAGGTGAACTGGAAGAATTGAAGAGTAGTTTGCATATTTGAGCTTCTAGGCTTGGAATTCAAGACCTAAGGTAGGAGAATCATCTTCTTGATTGTGCATTTAAGTTATACCTTGCATGGTCCATGGTCAAATTGAAGATTAAAGTCAAGAATTGGTTGAAAATGTTGAATTGAGGCTTAAATCATGCATGCATGTTCATATCTTAGCATTTTGAAGTGTCTTCATGGAAGTTCTTGTATGCAAGCCCATATTCTAGCCTTAGTCCATGAATTCATCATGATTTTGAGCTCAATCTTACATTTGGTTATGTTTTAGGGCATTGGATTTAAAATAAACACTTGCATGTTAAGCTCTTGTTTTGTTCTTGAAGTTCTACTTGTAATTGTGTTCAATTCACTCACCCTTGGGCTTTGATTTTACAAATTGATCTTTGAAACATCTTATACTATGAGTTTACAAGTGTTTTCTAGAAAATGGGCCCAAAAGGTCGAGTTTTGAGGTGTTGAATGCTTGGTTTGAACTTGGGAGGCAAATCTGGAAATTCCAGAATTTGGCTTCTTCGCTCGAGCGAAAGATCTCACGCTCGAGCGACCATCATTTGTTCAGAGCTTCGCTCGAGCAAAGAAATGGTGGCTTGACCGTAAATTGAAAGCTCTCAGGTTTTTGGTGCACGCAGACGCACGCTCGAGCGACGAGACCTACGCTCGAGCAAGCATCGAGCGTAAAATTTCAACAACCAGTACTTTTGCATTTTTATAGACCGCTCGAGCAACCCCTCTATTTTGACAAGCTTGCTCGAGCGAAGGAAGCGACGCTCGAGCGAAACCCCTGTTTTCAGCAAGTTTTGAAAAATATTTTTCAAGACATCTTTGCATTCTCATTCCATCCTAGGCATTCCAAGGCCAGGTTTAAGACTCTATAGTGACAATTTAAGGTTAGAAACACACTAAGAACCAATGACATAAGTTTTGTGCAATTAGAATGTGTGTTTCAAGAGTGTGTCCGTTATGTGTTATGTAGGTCACGTGCCGCGTATCGTGTGATCAACCTGTTCCGTCTGTCTGTTTCAAGGCCAATTATGAGTAATAACTTAGTAAAGTTATGTTCAAACTGTATCTACTTTTTGTGTGATAAAACAAGATCTGTTTTCTGAAATGATATGTTCTGTACAATGAATGATTGTTCAATTTCTGATATGTATTCGTGACATCCTTAGCATCATGTGATATCTGTTAGCTGTTACCCGGTATCGGAGGTTCCTTTATGGAACTTATTTCTGTCTGCACTCTGTTACCCGTACCGGAGGCCCTGTCACGGGAGCTCAGCTTCTGTTCTGTTGCCCGAATCCGGAGGTTCCTTTATGGAACTGGTTATTCGTAGCCTCACGTGTATACGTTCTGTTCTATTCTGTTAATGCTAATGGATGTACCACGTAAACTTACTCATGACTTATGATTTCTGTCTATATATGATCTGGACAAATGATGAATTTGATACAAATCTGAATTATGATTTCTGAATCTGTACGAACTCATTCATTGAAACCCTTTACTCTATTACTATTCACTGGGCTTTCGCTCACAGTTTATATTATGTATGTAGGTGAGCCGACACATGACCAGGGTCAGAGTTTGCGGCCTATTGTTCTATTTTTGTCAGCCAACTGTTGTGTCTCTCAAGGAGGTTCCGAACGAAGCCTAATGCCATGGCCGTTTTTGTATACATGCTTGTCTTTGTGTATGCTCTGTAAAGTCAGGTCTTGGGAAGTACATTCTGTAAATACCTTGTAAATATTGTGTATCTGGACTAGCATGTTTATATATATATAAATAAGTTTTGAAATGTTATGTCCCATGTACGTTATCACAGCTCATTAGACCTTGTCTATTTTGTATTATTGCTTCCGCAGCCCCTTATTATTTGCTAATCTGTTCAGAGGCCTTTGGTAATCCACGGATTACTGGCCGGTTACGGTACTAAACCTACAGGGGCGGGTTTGGTTCGTGACAGAAACTGCCAAATCAAGGTTGGGGATGGTAGTCGTATCAGATTTTGGCATGACAAATGGTGTGGATATGTCTATCTCAAGGATGAGTTCCCCTCTCTCTTCAACCTATCTGTTGATAAGAATGGTTCTCTTCAACAATTCTATGCCAGGAAAACCAGCTCCATAGATTGGAACTTTCTATATAGAAGAATTCTGTACGCCTGGGAAGAGGCCGTTGAAGCTAGGTTGATTATAATATTATCCTCTGTCCCCCCCTTGAGCCTTAATAGTGCTAACAGCCTGGTGTGGTCTTCTGCGGCCTCAGGTTCTTGTGTTTTCTCCGTATCTTCCTTATATTCTCTTTGTAATTCTCTCCTTAGGCCACATCTCAACATCAGCAAGTTCATCTGGAGCAATATATTACCTCCCAAAGTTCATGTCTTTGGGTGGTTAGCATGGAAAAACAGAGTTAAAACAGCGGTGTTTCTGCTCGATATTGATATCCTAGGCAGCAATGTTTCTCCTTTATGTCCTTTCTGTAAAATGGCTCCTGAATTTGTTTCTCATGTTTTGCTGCATTGTTATTTCTCTTGGACCATTTGGTCATCTATGTTATATGAACGGGGGCTTTGTTTGTGCATCCCACAATCTGTAGCAGCTCTGTTCAGTTGGTGGATGGGGGTTAAATTCAAGCACTCACTCAAGAAATTTTTGGGAGCGATCCCACTGGTAATCCTCTGGTCCCTTTGGAAGCTTAGGAATGAGTGTGTTTTTAGAGAAGCCCATCCTAATTCTGCAAAATTGTGGGAACTTGTTAACATCAGATTAGCTCTTAAAATTTCTATTAAGGACTTCCCTTTGTCAGTCGGGGACATGGTTCTCAATTGGAGACAAACCAGGCTATGCTATTAAGCCTCCGTTTGGCAAGAGCTTTTCCAGGCTTTTTTGGCTATTTTAGCCACAAAAAACAAAATAGGCTATTTTAGCCATAACAAACAAAACATCACATCCAACCCATAATCATTACATTCTTCTCTCACAAAAAAACTCAAAAAAGCCAAAAAGCCAAAAAGCCCTTCCCAAACCAAGCTTTTAAGCCCAGGCTAAAATAGCCAAAAAAGCCAAAAAGCCAAAAAGCCAACCCACTTCCCAAACGGAGGCTAAGTAAAAAAGAATTCTATCTTTGTGTCAGCTGCTGCATTCTTGGTTCTGGTTCTCTATTTCTGTTATTGTTCTGTTTGTGATCTAATTTGTCAGTGATCTGCAATCTGTTGGTAGTGATCAGTTCATGGTAGTGTTATCTGTTGTTAGCCCATCCTGGTAGTGACCTTTTGGTGTTCTGTTGTTCTGCTTCTGAACTGGTTTTCTGGCCGGTAATGATCTGTTGTTCTCTTTGTAGTGCAGTGTAGGTCTGTCCTTTGATGCTAGGTTGCTGTTTGGTCTGATGGATTGCTTTTGATGATCTCTTTATTGTTTTCTCCTTGTTGGGTTTGGTTTCTCACCAAACTCCTGAGGTGAGCTTGCATGCTGCTCTTCCCTTCCTTTTTTTTTACATCAATAAAGGTTCTCTTTTGCTGATCAAAAAACATATATATATGCCAATGATGACGTGATATCACTATTATATGAAATTTTTACTCAAATTTTGTAAAAAAATTAATTTATCTTACCATTACATAATGTATTTTAAGACCTAAATATATGAATTTTTTATATTGTCCAAGATATACTAGTTATACGGAATACTTTCTTTTCAATTTTACTCGAAGTTAATTGTAAAATTTTATCTGAAATACTTTTGTAATAATTTATTTAAGCTTTTGTACATAATATTAATTTAAAAATTATTATTATCTTCTTATTGTTGGTTATGAAAAAAAAATTGAAATTATAATTAACAAATGCCTTTCTAATTTTAATTTTCTGTCTCCGCCATTGGTGGGAATAAAATACCATGCTCGGTTATGAAGATCAATATATAAATACACCTTAGTCTACCATATATATGGAAGAGTCTTTTACAATAGCTCAACTCTATTTTATGCTGGTTTGACGAGCCTGCCGCCTTATTTAACCAAACCAAAAAAAATAAGAAACCCCGCCCCGGCCCAACCCCCTCCCCCTCCCCAAAAAAAAGGACAAATTACATTGTAGTTTTTATAAAGGTTAATTATATTTTCATTATTACAGCTTGATTTAAATTTCACTTCAATACTTATTATTTTAATTTAAATAATTTAGTTTTTACATTTCAAGTTTGGTTTTAAATTGGTTTTTCTGTTTAAATTTTTGTTAATTTTGTTTACGTGTACACTTATAAAATTGTTAACTTTGACCTCTAACTTAGATAAAATGATTAAATTAAAAATACTTTTAAAGTGTAAGGACCAAATTATTCAATTTAAAATTTTAAGAACTGAATTGAAATTTAGGTCAAAATCCTTACAAGGCACTACAAGAAGCCGTAATTATCGCACGGGTCATAAATACCACGTGAGTATGTCTATCTAATAATATTCTATCTTTTCTGTACCATTTCTTTATTTTTTAGAACTCTATAATTATTTAGATCTCTACTATTGATTGGTTTTTAGAGTATTTTTAATGACAAATGTTATAATAGTATTTTTATTACTATAATTTGGTAATGAATACTAGTAAATTATCAAATTATAGTAATAGTGCTCCAATGATCACATGTTATTTTGGCAAATCTCAAACAACTTTTCTTCTAACTTTATAAGTGTTGTTTGGATATAGGTTTTTTAGTGATTTTTTTATTGTTTATTTTTTGTCTTTTGTGATATTTTTTAAAAAAATTTAAATATTTACATTGTACCAGACTAGACAAATATAAAAAAAATTAAAAAATTAAAAAATTGAATTTTTTTTTTATATATAATTTACCCCACCAAAAAAACATATGACTACAAAAAAAAAAAAAAATGTATTGGCTAAATTAAAATTACATGGTCCGCTACATTACATTGCAAAATAAAAATTATATTTAAAAAGAAATAATAAAAATTACATTGACAAATAAATGACATTGCAAGATTAAAAAATACATTCTCGCTGTAATTATTCATCAGGAGGCATGGAAAAATAGTAATTTGGGTTGCTGATATGTGCAAACCACTTGGCGAAAATTTCATGTTTGCACATTATGTAATACCCTTTTATTTGAGGGTCCAAATGAGAAATGTTCGTAGTCATTACCAAATGTTCTTTTTTTTTTAACTCAAGTTCTTTCATCTCTTGCAAATGTTTTTTCTTTTTTTATCTTAAGTTTTTTCATCTCCTGCAATACTTGAGCCCTTTTTTCTTCTCTTTTAGTTTTTTCATCTCCTTCTTAGCAAAGTGCTGGTTAAATGTCTCCAACAAATTGTTAAATTTGTGGATTTCACCTTCAACAGCTTGACTTTTTTGAAGCAATTCTTTTGCAGATTTCCTACTCATAGGCCTTTTATCTCTTGCAGAGACACTACCATCAGTGGTTGGATTATTACCAATAGTTGGATTGTTACAAACACTTGGATTGTTATCATCTACAAGAAGAATACAGTTATCCATAGGAGATTCGGGGGGCTGAATCAAGGGAAAATAGTATATGTATCATTGACTTTACTATGTTCGTAAGAGTTATATCTTGTCACCTGATATTATTTTGCAAGACTGGCCAACAATGTTCAAAAGTAAAATGTTTGTTTTCATTTTGAAAGTATAAAATTTTTTCTTGAAGCATTTGTATCAACAAAATATTAAATTAATTAATTAGATTTTTATATGAGACAAAATAACAAAACTAACATAATAAATGAAGATGAAATTTTACTATATCAACTTAAGACATCTCACTTGGGTGTAGGTTTTCGACCTACGCTAAACACCCACGAAATTGGTTGCAACATTTCATGATTACACCTCATCGAAAAAACACACCCAAAAAAAAAAAGGACAAATTACATTGTAGTTTTTATAAAGGTTAATTATATTTTCATTATTACAGTTTGATTTAAATTTCACTTCAATACTTATTATTTTAATTTAAATAATTTAGTTTTTACATTTTAAGTTTGGTTTTAATTTGGTTTTTCTGTTTAAATTTTTGTTAACTTTGTTTATGTGTACGCTTATAAAATTGTTAACTTTGACCTCTGATTTGAATAGAATGATCAAATTAAAAGTACATTTAAAATGTAAAGATCAAATTGTTCAATTTAAAATTTTAGGAACTAAATTGAAATTTAGGTCAAAATCCTTACAAGTCACTACACGATGCCGAAGACTGTATGTCTATCTAATAGTATTCTATCTTTTCTGTACCATTTCTTTATTTTTAGAACTCTATAATTATTTAGACCCCTACTATTGATTGGTTGTTAGAGTATTTTCAATGACAAATGTTATAATAGCATTGTTATTACTATAATTTGGTAATAAATAGTAGTAAATTATAAAATTATAACAATGGTGCTCCAATGGTCACATGCTATTTTGGTAAATCTCAACCAATTTTTCCTCTAACTTTGTAGGTGTCGTTTGGATATAGGTATTTTAGTGTTTTTTTTATTGTTTATTTTTTTGTCTTTTATGACATTTTTTAAAAAAAAAACTTAAATATTTACATTGTACCAGACTAGACAAATATAAAAAAATTAAAAATTAAAAAAAATTGAAATTTTTTTTAATATATAATTCACCGCCACCAAAAAAACATATGACTACAAAAAAAAAAAAAAATTAAAATTTATTAGCTACATTAAAATTACATGGACCGCTTCATTACATTGCAAAATAAAAATTATATTTAAAAAGAAATAATAAAAATTACATTGAAAAATAAATGACATTGCAAGATTAAAAAATACATTCTCACCGTAATTATTCATCAAGAGGTATGAGAAAATAGTAATTTGGGTTGTTGATATGTGCAAACCACTTGGCGAAAATTTCATGTTTGCACATTATGTAATACCCTTTCATTTGAGGGTCCAAATGAGAAATGCCCGTAGTCATTACCAAATGTTCTTTCTTTTTGATCTTAAGTTCTTTCATCTCCTGCAAATGTTCTTTCTTTTTTTATCTTAAGTTTTTCATCTCCTGTAATACTTGAGCTCTTTTTTCTTCTCTTTTAGTTTTTACATCTCATTCTCAGCAAAGTATTGGTTAAATGTCTCCAACAAATTGTTAAATTTGTGGATTTCACCTTCAACAGCTTGACTTTTTCGAAGCAATTCTTTTGCAGATTTCTCACTCATAGGCCTTTTATCCCTTGCAGAAACACTACCATCACCAATTGAATTATTACCAGTAGTTAGATTGCTACCAACACTTTGATTGTTATCATCTTTAAGATAAATGCAGTTATCCATAGGAGATTCGGGGGGCTGAATCAGGGGAAAATAATATATGTATCATTAACTTTACTATGTTTGTAAGAGTTATATCTTGCCACCTGATATTATTTTGCAAGACTGGCCAACAATGTTTAAAAGTAAAATGTTTGTTTTCATCTTGAAAGTATAAAAAAATTTCTTGAAGCATTTTTATCAATAAAATATTAATTTAATTAATTAGATTTTTATATGAGACAAAATAACAAAACTAACATAATAAATGAAAATGAAATTTTACTATATCAACTTAAGACATCTCACTTGGGTGTAGGTTTTCGACCTACTCTAAACACCCACGAAATTGGTTACAACATTTCATGATTACACCCCATTGAAATGAGATAGACACTTGTGTTATTGAGTGATCATTCTGCTGCGAGTAATAATTTTCAAAAATTCTTCCTAAAAAATAGCATGAAATTGTGAATTTTCAACAATTGGGTCTTCAGTAATGTGACACCAAGCTCTACAGATTGCTAATACATTTTCATTAATGCTAAATGATTTTCCTTACCTTGTTTTTGATGAACCTTCCATAGTGATAATGTGAAAAATAAAAAAGAAAAATATAATTTAAGATGTTTTGTTGTGAACTCAAATTGAATTAAGGTGTTTGTATTTATACCACAACAAAAACATGACTCTTTTTTTTTAGCCGTTTAATTTATAGTCGTTGGTGTCTTGCCTGTTTGGAAAGATAGCCTTCTTTTTCTTTTCCTTTTTTCCAGATTGAAATGGAGCCATTGGGCTTATGTTTAGCATTCCAAAATAGGCTGCTCACCATTGGATCTTTGCATAATCCAACGGATGAGATCAATACTCTAGAATCATCATTCTAACTCTCTCATTCTCATATCCATCAGAATTCAGTCGCCACTCTTTGTTTCTCTCTCTCTTCATCCCTTAAACCTTTCTCTCACTCTTT